TTTATTATGGTTATTATATGGCTATAACTACATGACAGTGTGAAAGAACTATTAACACCATCTTAATATGTTAAATTCACATGATTTATCAAAGGAAGTCTAGTTTTCAGACATGTTTGGTCAAATGAAGAAGCATCAGCTTTGTTTGTGGATGCAATTTTACAAAATATCAGTATAGTTGGATAAGAAATAAATTAAATAATAAATAAATAAGCATAAAAGCATAATTTTATATTTAAGAGAGCTAGAGCACCTACCAAATGTATAGAAATTGATGTAGAAATGAGGGTGCAGTAGATCATTGATGATGTATGAATGTTTATGTTGCAAATGTTCTTCAGACGAGGCTGTATTTTCATTGCCTTACAAATTCTAAGTAGATTTTTTTTCAGTTCGGAGCAACAATTGTGTGTAGTGAAGAACTATATGTGAATAATTTACTTCATAGATTAATGAAGCATAGTTTGTGACAGAGATTGGCAAATGCTACTCTGACTATCGAGTACCAAGTATTTTACTCACTAATGGTAATTCAATCACTACTTCAGTTAATTATTTGACATCAACTGAAGTAGTAATTAAATTCTTTAGCATTAAAAAAAGCTCAGTATTTGAATAAAATACTTGGTACTCAGTACTCACATTAGTAATTGCCCATCTCTGGTTTGTGATAACCTCTCTATTTCTCATAACATTGAATCTATTATAGTGCCAGTTTCTGTACGGATAAAAATATCTAAATTAAAAGTAACAAAGTACAAAAACTAATGTTCAATGGGAAACATTACATACATCGCATTTTTGTGATCTTATATTTTTCAGTCCTGATGTTCGAAAAGGAATGTTAGTTTACTGCCATCTTCAAATAATATCCCCAAATTTCTTGATTTGATAGGAGATGAATATTGACCAAATAGTGTGGAATACTCAGTTATGAATGAAGTAATGGTTACTGACATTAAAATCTACCCAGTGAATTTCATTCATCAATTGATGAGACGGCTGGAGAAAGCAACAGGTAGTTGTCACACCTGTTCTCAGGTTCATCAATGAGGTGCTCTATGTCTGTGCACTTCTTACCTACTCATGAGTATTTCACATTAACAATTTATTATAAATATGAGGTTGTTAATATCGAAATCTATGAACAGAATGAACAGGATAGCCTAATAGGTAATTGCAAGACCTGTGAGACTCTTGCTGCAAGACCAAGACCAAGACCAAGGCTGAGTGTGCAAGACCAAGACCAGGTGTGAACACTGCAAGACCAAGACCAGGTGTGAACACTGCAAGACCAAGACCAAGACCAGGTGTGAACATTGCAAGACCAAGACCAAGTCTTGGATGATTCTTCTCGCAAATCATTCAACACTTTTTTAGGTTCCTGATTAGTGTCCAGGTCTCGCAGTCATAGCATTGTATCATATGTGTATATATATAGGTGTGTATATATATACACCCTAACTGGGCTATATACACACCCTAAGTAGTGGGAAACACGGGAACGTCTCAGGGTCCCTTCGACAAATATATATATATATATATACACATATGATACAAGGCTATGATAAAGCCAGTTCTAATATATGACTGCGGGACCTGGACACTAATCAGGAACCTAAAAAAGTGTTGAATGATTTGCGAGAAGAATTATCCAAGACTTATAAAATGTACACAGTAAATATCAGTTGTACTTCTGTACCCTTGACATGTTTTAAATGAATAATCTCAGAAATTCCCCTAAACAACAAGCAAATTCTGAAACCCGAGCAAGATACACATTTCAATTAGATACATTCTTGACATCCTAAAACCAATAAGTTTACTCCCAATTCTTTCAAAAATGTTTAAAAAAATCTTTTTAAAACGAATCCAACACGTTATAGAATCTCAAAATCTTCCTTCCCATCAGTTTGCTTTTCGCTCAAAAAACTCTGCTGTTTACCAAAGACTCCGTTGATAATTTATCAGCACCCCCTAGAAAACAAAAAAAAGTGTTCTGGCGCATTTCTTGATATAGGCTTTTGTTCGGGTATGGGACCCCGAGCTGCACTTCAAGCTTAAAATCGAACTCCCTCAGTCCTCATACCAAATCCTTCGGTTCTACCTCTCTGACCGCTCCATTCGAGTACCCTGTGGAACAGCATTTTCCGACCTATATTCAGTTAAAGCCGATGTTCCCCAAGGCAGCGTCTAGGGTTCCGTGCTTTACATCCTCTTTACCGCTGACAACCCTGTCCATCCCTTTACTTTCCTCGCAACATTGGCAGATGACACCGCAATCTTATCATCTAACTCTGTTCCCGAAATAGCATCCTTAAATCTGCAAAGATACCTCTCCCTGATTGAGCACCAGTGTAATAAATTATTAAACTAAATTAATCTATTAAATTAAATGGATCCAAGTGCCTACATATTAACTTTACGCTCCGACGCAATTCCTGTGCACCAGTGCACTTTAATTCCATCCAGCTTCCTTTCTCAGACACAGTCTGATATCTTGGCGTTTTTTTTTTTTAGACTAAAGACTAACAGGGAACTCACAGATTAGACTCAGAAGACAAGAACTCAACTGACGATACGTCCAACTATACAGACCACTGAACAGGAAATTTAAACTTTCAATTGAAAATAAATTACTAATTTACAAGATAATACTGAAACCTATAGACCTACGGACTAGAACTGTGGGGGCCAGCAAAACATCAAACCCATCCAATCCTTTCAGTCCAAACCAACTAAACCCTACACCACGACTTTAATATCCCATTTGTCCTAAACCATATTCCTAAAAATTATTCCAAATTCCATCCAAACCTTGCATATCATCCGAATCATCTTGCACAATCCCTATCAAAAGCCCTACCCATCACTATAATCCTCCTCGAAGATTGAAGCGGCAGTGACCCAAAGACCTGTTGTAAGCACATATTGGAGTTCTGGCAATGGCCAGATTCTCCACTAAAGCCATGTATGTTTGATTATAGTGCCTATGCTCTGCTGCTACTGATCCTTAATGCGAATGAATGAGTGACCCTGAGATCTCCTACAGTTCTGCCTTTCCTTCCACGAGTGGAGGGAAAGTCTTGGCTCGGAGATCTTGAGTGAATGAATTTTGTATATATTGTATATATTGCACGTGTGTATTTAAGTAGTTATTTTGATTAGTTCAGTTTCCTTTTGTTTAGTTTAATTTCTTTTAGTTCATATACATTTATTTTTAGTATTATTCTTTTGCTGTTAATCTATTTTTATTTATTGTATATAGACTGTGAATTAGCTACTATTCTGTCATTATTACTACTGTTCTTAAATGTGAGAGATTGTAATATTTCTCTATAAAGAATGAGTATATTGACTATGGTATACCACATATAAATATATATATATATATATATATATTAGGAGAGTAGGAGCTCCACTTTTCAGCCCACTCCTCTAGGCTTGGTAGTGCTGCTTTCCTATGACTATTTTTCGAACTATCAATTTCCGTTCAAATTTCCGGTGTAAAATCTTTATTTTGTATCAGGAGAGTAGGGATTTACAGGAGCTCAACACATATGCAATTAAATAAACACTTGTATAATTTGTAAAATAGGGGTTGGTCCGCCGTTAGGCGGACAGGCGGTACCACGTAGTATTGAATATTTACAAAACTTGCCTATCTTTAAATAAAAAAAACAAAAAAAAAATGTTGTTTAGAAAATTATGAACATTTTGCTTTCAAAATGTTTTATCATTTCTTGGTATTATCTCATTATTATACCTTTTGTGTCTAAAAACTACTTTAATTCTTATATCATTTCATAAATTAATGAATCACAACCATCTGAAAAAAAAATTACAAAAGCACAAAAATAATTGTTGGCAACTTTTTTGGCCAAACCTCCAAATTTTCGATGTTTTAGCTTTATGGAACTTTAATTTTAAAACTATCATTCATCTTTGATTCATCGTCTATTGCTAAAATTGTCAGGTTTTTTTTTTTTTTTTTTTTTTAGCCTATGCAACAAATTATTGATATTACAAGTCTGGCCACTTCATCGTGCCTGATTTTTTGGAGAAAGTACTGGTACCACCAAGTGATGGAGGGAACTAGACCGATAAGTGTGCCCTCTCGTTGTCCTTTTTGCTAAAGTTTGACAGCCATCAATAAGGAATGTTGCCGCCGCTTACTTGCCACACTCAGAATGTCAAGATCCATTTCCCGGGGCCGCCAAGGAATGAAAACTAGCAGACTCAGATGGGAATCGATTTCACACACTTTTCGAACACACAACACACGTTCTGAACTGGGTACTCTGGGACCCATCTCCCAACGTGCTCAGACATCCCGTCTTTGTGACCAGACAGTAGTCAACTAACCATATTTATCTGGACAATGACTCTCAAAGTTTATTTTGTCAACTAAAAAGTTATTAAAGAGGGTGTGTCTTAAATGATTATTTACAATTTTTAAATATGGGAATTGTGATCAAATGACCCACTAAATTTTCCTATTTTGAATAGTAATATAATTATAATATTTAACTTTTATTGTAAATAATCTAAGTAATCAGTGGATTTGATTTTGAATTAATACGTCAATAAAACTGATTGGGATTCTCTTTAAACTTAAGGGTTCCTTTCAAATACAGAATATATTGACGAGGAATTTAAAATATTCTTTAAATTGTACAACATAATCATGATACGGTTAGTTAAAGCAAACAAAATAAAAATAAATAAAACATCGTTTTACTAGTGCAAAACACGGATTTAATGAAAAACCCAAATGTATGTTTTTGGTCCCAAGATATACTTGAAGCAGTTGTCATGTATTAACGGATGACAACCGGGAGTAGTGACCAGAGCTGATAACAGTTATCATCCGTAGAAAAGGACTTGGAAAGTAAAATGAAGAAGGTGAATGGAGGCGGAGAGTTGTATGGTGGTATAGAGGAGGGGGTGTCAACTATATATTCTCACTCCCTCTCTCCACCGCCTCTAGTCCGCGTTCGCATCAACCTCTCTCTGTGTCTTCAGTCTTACCTATAGTCTCTTCGGTATTTTCCTGTGTTTATTTACCGGTATGTATATGTTTGTATATCTTAACCTTTGTATTTAAACCATCACCTGCGAAACAGAAAAAAAAAAAAACTGACTATCAATCAACAGAACTAGTTAACAAATAATCAATTATCAATTAACTGGACGAAGAATTCTTGCGATGATATTTTTTGCGCGATTAACGTAACATCGAGATATAAAATAGAAAGAAAAATATTAATTAAAATTAGTTTAAAAGAAATATAAATAATTCTCGTTTGAATAAAGAATGAGATAGAATACAATGTGGGTTAAGTTAAGACTTTTGAATAAATACAGAAATTTAAAAAAAAAAACATATAATGCAAGAATCAGAAATAAAATGATAAAAAACAATTCCATGACGTTAAAATTAAATTCCGAGAAATTGTAAAGAATCACTGTGATCTGGTATTAGAGCGTATTTTGTGCAATGCTGCCTTATGTCGGTTTCCTCCTGTTGCAGATTGAAAAAGTATTTTTAATTTGTTTTATGGATTTTAGACTTTCAAAGAAATTAGTCAAAGAGACTTTTAAAACAAAACGATTTAATTAAGTTTTTATTAGTTGGTTTTTCGAATTTAACGGGTGAAACTTCCTTGTAAAGTTTATGCTATCCATTTAATTTTCTTTTTTAACCTAGGAATCTACAAAAAATGAATCTACATACCAAACAATTTATTAGCGAGAATAATTTCCTTCCGCCAATATATATGTGCTATCTTCTTCTTAAATTATTAGAATCTAAATTTAAAATGTTTCATCTAATTTAAGTGATTTGTCAAAGTTGCGATATACAGATTTAAGTAAAAATTTAACTAAAACTCAGAAACTGTAAGAACATATTTAATCTAGGTCTGCCTTAATGTTTTAAGTTGACATCAAATACTTATACCCATATATCAAATACTGAATATGTATATAGATAAATAAAGATAATTAGAATACAAAAAATAATAGAATGTCGTAAAACCTTGATTGCTATGCTTCCTCACTACCGAAGGTAGATAAGATTTGAACTCGTGCGGAAGGCAAAAAAAAAAAAATTGTACTCAGAATCGAAAATACCCACATGGACATATAAAAGCAAATTTGATTCTGTTTCTGTCTTTAGTCAAATTTATGTGACGTGTGTGTTACCTCAATTTTCTGCATTGTACGGGTGGTGCCTATATGGTCCCATGTCGGTTCTATCCAGAATCCATCAACTTCTTCCGGATGCATGACACGCTTATACATAAAAAAAAAAAAAGACTCATTCAATTTGTCCCAAAGTTAGAGAGAATTTCGGAAATAATTTACCAATGGTTTAGCATACATTTTCATTCAACGATTAAAATTAATGCAATTGTAAAAAATAAATTCTTTGTGAAATGAGGTACTGTTAACGTATGACAATGATACGTTAGATATTTTTTAAACTACATCTAATTTTTTAGATGTGTTTTTATTGGATTATTCTATTCACATTTAACTGAAACTATAATCTCGAAGAAGTGTATGTGTATGTTCTACTTATGCATATGTTGTACTTAATAAAATAGTGAGGAAATTATACTGAGTTTCTTGGTAGACATTTTTTATTTAAAATTATAAAATTTGGATGTACAACATCTGTGAGTTATATATATATATATATATATATATATATATATAATATATATATATATATATATATATATATATATATATATATATATGAGTGTGTGTAAAATTAAAGTTTTTGATAGTAAAGTAAAAGCGTCATTGGAAAGTAGTAATGAGTCGTAGGAAGTTCGAAAGTTATGGATTATAATATCTACATATTTTTTTTATTGCCCAATGAAATACTCTCCATTAAATCAGTGAAAAATTACATTGATAAGCACGAGCAAATTCGAAACTATTTGCATTATTTAGGCAATAATTCTAAATTCGTAAAATTTTATTTTTTTTAAGTAACATTGCTTTTGTAACGGCTTTAATTGATTGGCCAAATAAAACGATCTGTGGAAGTATAATAGTTTAACTAGGAGTTATAGATTAAAATTCTGATTATAAATATTTTGATGATTCCCTCAATTGTTATATTTGTTTCTCATTAAAAAACATATTTAAAAACTATAAACTATAACTCTCGAGTGGTTATTCAACATTTTTCGATCCTAAATGAAGATTTAGAGAATTTCTAATCATAAACAATTTAATTTGAAAATCTATATTTATGTATTTTATAGAAAGTAACTTACTTCTAAATTTACCTAATATTTTAGACCACGAGCAATGTAATGTTATATTAAAATTTAAAAATATATTTTTTTAAAACTCATCTAGAATTGCTTGGTTAAAATTTATTTATATATTACATTATGTGTATAATTAAGTTAGTTGAGGATCATTAAGGATCAAAAGAAGTATTTTGATCGAACTCTAAGGTGCAATGCCGTGTGGTTGGGTTTCTTATAAATTTTTTGTTGATGAGAGAGAAAGGTGGATTAGGCGATGAGGCATTTTTTTTTTTTCGTTTTGACGGGTTGGTTTATAATATCTAAAATATGTGTGATTCCAAATTATTTTTAAATTTAGGGGAGTGGGCTGGAGAGTTGTGTAAAATTTTTTCAAGATAAACATAATAATCCTCAGACCTTCTTTAAATCCGGATAAAAACATAGTTTTGTGGCTTTGTATGGCAGTTATGAAGATTCAGTAAATCTAAACAACTAAAAGTTATAAGAGATAGTTGATGACTCCAAGAGACATTTACCTACACGCTTGGATATGATTTTTTTTTTTTAGTTATGTTGTCTTGGAGTGACGTATTATCTGTAGTCATTGTGTCATTTTTTTTTTTTTTTTTTTACTGCTGTTATAAGATGTGTTTTATACGGTCTGCATATATGTGATTGGCATTTTTCAATTATGATGTCTGATTTGCGAAATGTTAACCTTATAATAGTTTTCGCTCTCATGTTGTTGATGTTGGTAGATCAGAGATGAGAGCGTGGCTTCTGGTCGTGGGATGCTGCCTCTGGTTGACGGTTAGCCTTGCGACTCCAGTTCCAAGCTCGGCTCCAGAACCGCCTCCCGTAGATCGAGCCTCCAGGCAGAGCGCCGACCCCGCCCAACCGGTGGCTGCCGCCCCGCAGGAGGAAGAAGACGACGACGATGACGACGATGATGATGACGTTGACCTCGACCTAGGCGATGATGATGATGACGACGACGATGATGATGCTGCTGATGACGATGATGACGACGATGATGATGAGGATTATTTCGAGAGGTTCTTCGATGATATACTTGGAGGTAAGCTAACCGACAATTCTTCTAGTAGATAGCAGGCTAGAACTGATAACTTTGCATATTCTCGGTTTTCTGTAATTACATTTAGAATTCCAATATAAAAGGTGACTTATAAATCATCAAAATTTTTAATAATTTACATATGAAGAAATAAAATAGTTAGATCCAGTCGAATCAGTAAACGCTGTTAGTTTGCTTAAATTGTAGTAGTGACCTTCTTCGTGTAGTGACAATTTATATTTAAATTTATTATTAGATCGTTGTAAAACTAACTCCCAAAGTAATACATGTTCAGAGTTGTATCAATGAAAAAAATTTCTCACAAATTCTTAAGCTCAACCATATTTCAGGAATCCTGTACAGGAAAAAAAAGTCGACAAATTTACACAGCACCCACCTACTACTCGGTTTTAAAGTAAAAACTACTGTACACACATTTCTCTGAAGATACACATTGGACTAACACATTTCATAATTCTAATTATACTTTTCACACAACAGTTTAAATATGAATGTTAAAACGAAACTCTTACAAATTTGATTATTTTAACACTTACCAATTTTACAATATTACCAATAAAAGAGTACCAGTGCTAATTGAATATTCGATGAGTTAATGAAATTTAAGGAACAAAATTTAAGATCACCGTACTGCATTTTGGGATGCATTCAAAATAAGATCAGCTACAGAAACCTCTTAGATTCTGGGCAAATGTAAATATAGATGTAGCGTATCTATGAATATTTAAAAAAAAACTAAAAACTAAAATATTACAAATCATTTAATTCAAAACCTAATTCTGAAGATCACAAAAAAAAAAAAAAAAAAAAAAAAAACATGGTAGGTAAGTAAATTAGTACTTATCGATTTAAATATTGTAACACCTGATGGAATCATGAAGATTCATTACAAATAATGAGTTCGAATCCTCAGTTAATGTGTGGACCTTATACCTATCATATCTAACTATTCAGAGAATTGTTTTTTTTTTTATAATTAGCTGTTTTTTAAAAATATTAGCAATGGATAAATTCCATGGTAAGAGAGGGGTCAGTCGGCCAAAGGTTTGCTGGGAAGACTGTCTTGGCAGATGGATGGGTCCTTGGAGCCCGAAGCTGGTAAGTGGCAGCAATTGATTGTGCCAACTGGCGGAGCCTTTCGGAGGAGGATTATTCTCAACAAGGGGACGTGGCGCCGCATAAGTTGTATCATTAGCAATCAGTTTATATTGAGTAGGAAATGAACAATTAGTTATTCACCGTACTTGCATAGACTTTTTGTTTAATGTCATCCCAAACAAAAAAATCCAGTGGTGCCAGGTCTGGAGAGCGTGCACGGCCAATCTATTGATTGGGATATGAAATATGGGAAAATCCGTTCAATGACCTTAATTCCTTACGAGGAAGGATAGTTGAATCTTGTGATACAATAACACATATCCAGTGCCGTTCTGTCATTGCTGCTGTTGAAGAAAGATGCCGAGCCGGTCTGAATGCTCGAGGAAATCACTTTGAACAACATTTAATATGAATTTTAATGTTTACATTTAATTAATAAAGTAGTTATAACAAATAGATAGGTTTTATTTATTTCGTATAACGTAAATAATTCATAAAACGAAAATCTTAAGGTGTGAATATCTCCTAAAAAAAAAAAAGTTTGCGGGCATCTCCTCAGAGGAAATTAATTTCTTGTTTTGAGGTCCTTAGTTCATTTTTGCAGTTTGGATACTTAACCTTGAAACATCGTGTATATATATATACACACACATAAAGGATGTTTCAGGGTTAAGTGGCTAAACTTATATGTATATATATATATATATATATATATATATATATATATATATATATATATATATATATATACAAATGTATATTAATATAAAAAGATGTGTAAAAAACAAAACAAAAAATATTCGAATTTGTAAATAGAACTTAAAACTTTAATAAAATAAATTAGCTTTTTTAAAACGTTAACTAAACGAATAATAAATAAACTTTTTCGGATAAAAATGACCCCATTGCTCGCGGGTTCCACATGTTTAAGGCTGGTACTGATTATAGATCACTATTGTATGTTGTATATATAGGATTCTGTATCTCTATCTTCTTACACTGAACGAACCCGGTTTAAAATGGGGCTTTGCTATAGCTCCAAGATTCTATGCCGATACCAGTAACAATCGACACCACACTCGCTCGTCAAAACCCAAACCCAGGTCATCCAGACAATACTTTCATTTACGGCATCATCCTACAATCCCTCGTGAAAAATTAAAATATCCTCTTTGTATTAAAAAAAAAGATTTTTTTCTCAGAAGTTTAGATTATTAAAAGTGCTATTCTGCTGGTTCTTTTGAGCAAGTATTGTAAAAATGAATATTCATTAATTTAGAATAGTACTAATAAACTTGAATGATGAAACAAACAATGAAGTTTAACCCTTTCATTAAGTGATTAAAAAATGTTCTAGCCTGTCAATACTACCTTAATTAATTATTTGTTTTTGTTTTTCTAGCGTGAAAACCCCAGCGAGGAGAAAGGAGAAATATTTATTTAATTTATTGTCTTAGTTGTTTAAGATGAAATAACCAAAGACTTAAGGTTTCATTTAATATTTTCAAATGGAGTACAAATGATAATGTAACAAAAAAAAAAAAATCATAAATATCAAAATAATGATGTAAATGTCAGAAATTTAATTTAAAAGTGTGTGATAAGTAATTTATTTTGTCTGAGTTGTAATTTATTGATTCTTTTTTATTCTTTATAAGTTCTAGAAGATCGAGCAAATAATGGTCGATCTGATGTATGAATGTGTTGTAAAATAAACGATATAATGTGTCAAATCAGAGTTTGAGAATATTTTTTGAAACCTTAAACACACTTTGGTCCATTCCTTATCCCTCCACTCCACACAATCCTAGAGAGAAAAAAGAAGTCGACAAACTGGGTCAGAGAAGAGGTACTACTTTCCACTCCACTCCATAATCGCCCGTCCACCTTTTTTCTACCACCTTGACCTCTCTCTCTCTCTCTGATAGAAATCGACTTTCTTCCTTCACTCAGCTTCCGTTCCAATCTAGGTCTCTTGCTAAGGTCAATAAAGACTTTATTTGAATATTCTAACTGCCTTCATTGCCGATGTGGCTTATTACTTGCCATACGTTTTACATCAGTACTTTAATCCAAAATTAATTAAAACCTTTGTCGGTTGTTAATTAAAAACAAACCTTTGTCGCCTTTTATGTTGTTTTAAACATCCGAGAATACACAAAAAATCTTGCTATTACTTTGATATTATGATTACGAAATTTTTTATACCTACGCATTATAAAGCCTCCAACTTATGAAAACACATTCAGATCAATGCCTAGTAAATAATATATTGACACTCAACAAATTAAGCACTCTTATTATTCAAATTGATAATGTTAATTTCGACATTTCAAAAACTATGAGAAACAAAATCATCTATGTTAACTAACAGCGACATCGGCGCTAAGCCGAACTTTTTTTTACATTTTTCTTGTTACCCTACAGTAGGTGGAAAATATCCAAAACAAGAAACAAAACCACCATCATTGGGAAACAACCATTCAGATATTTGTATTTCCCATAGTTTATGAAATGTCATAACGCAACTTAACATCATACGTCTATATGTATGTATAATAAACTGAAGATTACTTTACACATACGATAAAAGCTCTTGCACTTTCCTTGATGTTATGAATAACGAACACAATTTTAAAAGCATTCGGAGCAATATTACATAGTAAATACCATATCCGATGAAACCAAATAAATTAATGAATACCTACATGTAGTGCCCAAATGCGAGACCAAGATGAGTTTTGGTCTTACGCACTGAGTGTTGGTCTTGGTATTATTCTTGAGCAAAAGTCTCGCAACAGTCTTGCAGTATCCTATTAGCGTATTACTTTAGAGATGTTACTGTATGTTTTCAGATAGGGGAAACTTAAACAAGCCCTGAATGAAAAATTGGAAGAGTTAATTGCAAAAGTATATTGATTATACCAATTCTTTACATATACTACCTAAAATTGTCAAGTCTCAGCAACAATTTTATAATTTTTATTCAGAAAAACGATTTTTTTTATCAATCCTGTTCTTGGTTTTGCAACAAAAGACTGATTTTGGGCAACACACCGAAAAATATAATGGCCAAATAATAAATAGATATATTTTTTCCAAAATTATTAGTAATATTAGTTGAATATTTAGTTGAATTTTCCTTTTGGAATCTGGCTTTTGGGTCGAATAAATGTTTGTTATGTTTAGTTATTTGTCTTCCTTTTAATTATTGAATAAATAGAATTTACCGAAAATTAATAAATAGAATTTACTAAAAATTAATAAATGAAAAGTTCTAATTAAATGAAATTGACATTAAAATATTCAAACTCCTACTAAATTCAAGTAACTGCAGAGGTGCTTAAAACCTTTTAACACCCTGAAAATAATAGCATGATTGGGAGAAAAAAAAACGAGACTCCCGAAAATAGACGTCTTTAACATCAACTCTATTAACATATAAACTTTCAAATATATATCTAAATTTGGAAGAGTTAGTGTAGAGACAAATGTTTTGACAAAATAATGCCCAAATGTAGCAAGAAAAAAATGTATATAATGAATTTAAAATGCACTTCTCCTATCTTCCACTGACCGTCAATACAGTGAAGAATATTTTATTTTCGAGGAAATAGGTCAAAAATCACAAGTTCTTACCCGGAATAAGGATATTAGTTAACCGGCAGTTAACGGTTTAACAGTTATCTGTTCGCAACTGTATGTTAGTATAGACACCTTTTACAGCTCTTAGTACCAAAGCATTTTTGCTAAGGAAAGTCTAAGAGAAGCACAATAATTTCATGAAGAATTGACGAATCCTGATTTCAGTCCTGGAATTTGAACTAGAACTTAAATGAATGTTATTGAAATAAAACATGAATTCTAATCTCCGATAGATGTAA